AAATAAGTTAGAGCTGATCATGCTGCATTACGTGTGTAAGACATGAGAGATGGAAAAAGTGCCCACATGGGCCAGGCAGGAAATGCCTGGTCTCCTCAAGGGTCTTCAAAACGTATATCCAAGCACTTTGACAAATGATCCCGTGCTCAGTGTTGAAATCCTACCTTATATAGAAAAACATTAAGAAATACTCAGCCTGCACTTGAATTTAAATTAAAAGGAGTTCCAACAGCAGGCCTCCTTACTCGCGAATAATCTTTTCCTTAGTCTTCCAGCGGATGATGTCATGTTACTGTACCAGTGCCTGTCTTTATTATCGGGGTTAAACGAATGTGTAGCTGCTGGCAGCTTCACTCACATCACTCAGAAAAAAGCCCTGATATCAACCAGTGTTAGTCAAAACACAGACTGCGTGTGTTTCTTGCTGCAGACTTTGCAGTTATTAAAGCAGCAAATGTTCCAAATAACAGGTAATGCTATAAGTCAGAGCATCAAACCCCACCAGTCCTCTTTACCTACCTGTGCTCGAGGTAACGTCATCACCCCGACACGCAGGCTCCCGCAGCAGCAACAAAAGCGCACAGGCTGATCCTAGGACAGAGGCTTCCCCACATGATTAAAAGTCAGTCAGTTTCGTGTCCAGCAGCTGAAACATCAAATCACCGAGCAGCACCTCTACGTAAAGGGTTCGATCTCTACTTACCTCTCATTCCAGCAGGAGTTTTTCATACCAACTCATACAACGGGTGGGAAGGTGCAGGGATCCAGATTTTGCAGGTAAACACAGGATCAGGAGTATGGAGACGATCCGGGTGTTGGGTCAGCGTGAAAGAGAAGCAAAACCAGCTATCCAACAGGTTACTCCTGTGTGTGAGCACAGCCAAGCTGCACTGCGCCTTTATGGCCCCCGGAGAGGGGAGAGAAAGAGCGACGGTGACTTGGAGCCAAGTGCGGGTTTCCCCGCTCTTTACCGCCTACTACTGGTGATCAGTGGCCCTACTTCCTAAATACTGCCTAACTTTCTATTGCCATGTTCACTGTTTTAAGGTCTTCTAAGATTGTAAAGCCTTGTAAATCATGGAGCTAAATAGTTTTAGACGCTGTAATCGTTTCAATTTAATGTCTTTAATATTGGTTCATTTTTTTCTGGGTATAACGTAATAAAACATCACCCATTGCATTTCCATAAAAAAGACACAAAATGTTGTGGAGATATTTCAGTCTGGACTAACATGGCACACTAATAAGGACACTTCCCCTGCACTGAGAAGAACAATAAACTTTTCCAACTGAGTGGTTTCTTGGCAGGTGCTTTTTACATCCTGCCTCGGATGTTTGCTTGAGATGAGGGAAAAGCAGCCGTGGATAAACTCTCAGAGAGATAAGCCAAGGATTTAATGTCACCTCTGCCACTGGAGTTTATGAAAGTTCAGAGGAAGTCATGATGGCGCCATTAGAAGAAGTCAGGAAGTCAGATTAAGACAGAATCTCAGCCAAAATCCAGAAAACAACACATTACATAAAAGACATACCTGTCAGCTCATTGTATTAAAAGCTCACCTTTGCACAAAATCAATTTCTTCTATTCTCACCACCATGGGCCAGACCAAAGATTGTACATCTGCACAAGACTGGAATGGGCTGTAAGGCCAACAACAAGCTTGGGAAAAAGTGCTGTGGTCAGATGAAACCAAAATCAAACTCAACTCGAACAAGTCAAGCACGGAGGTGGAAAACGTTTGGCGTGTTTTTCTGCTAAGGTCGACTTCATCACACTGAAGGGCCAATAGACTGAGCCACGAGGCGGTTGCCAAGTGGCAGGAAAGAACCCTAAACTGTTTATAAAGTTTCTCAAGGGTTTCTCCACCAAATACTAAGTCATGTTTTGCTTGGGGATCAAATACTTATGCCACTCAATGTGACATATCAATCAATTTATAACTTTTATGTATTTTGTGTGTTTGTCTGTGTCAGAATATGACAGAAATAAGAATCGTCTCAGTTCCCTGATTCAACATTTGTCTGCTCTAAAACAACTGGCTGGAGAACATTAATAACTAGAAACATGGAGGTCCATTGTTTATTAAACCTTAACTCTTCTCCTGTCCACGCGAGCACTTTAAACCACTTCACACATGCCCTACAAAGTCTTAATAATAGCACTTGTAAGTGAATCCTTTTAGACATTTACATTCCCATGAGTCTTTGCAGTGCTGCAGCATTCACAGCATTCAACTGTATTTAAAAAGAAAGAAAAGCATTTTACTGTCAGTTTAAAGTGACTCGTTCATGCATCATTTTTGAATTAGGTTGTCTGATATATGCTAAGTCAGTGAGTGACTGTGCATTGGCCATGCGGCAGATTTACAAGTTAAAAATATGAAAGGACAACACAGTTTTCACAGAGGTGGAGGATTATTTTGCCAGTGCAAAGGAGAAACTCTGCCACAGCATCAGGAAGAATGTTGGGAATTACAGCTGCTGCAAAAGCCTTCGAGGCTTATCTGTGATTGAAGCCATCCTACCCCTACACACAAAGAGGCTGTAAATCAACTTGACAGACTGCCCGGTAGATTACATTTGTCAGCATACGCATGCATAAGCACAGGCAATTGGGAACAGTGCTGAAAGCAGCTCCCGAGGCTCTGGTGTTGTATCTGCAAAGTTTTTCTAAGAAGCTTTCCAACTTCTTAGAAAATGTTTGGATTTACTGGTAACAGGAATACTTTGAACATCCATCATCTCTATCTGGTAATCACCATATTCAGATTGTTGGTAATTTCATGTCTCAAGGAAACCTCTGTTGAGAAATCACCACATACTTCCTACTGCTTGTTTTCTCCACTGCGATGCCTCTTGGGGAATTTCCAACTCGCAGCCATAAAAATTCTGTATTTTGACTCATTTGTAAACAGACTTTCCTCTGAGAAATTTCTGCATTATTTATATTATTTAAATATTTAGACTTGTTTTGTCATTGAGGATGTTACACAGCAACTAATTGCTATTCGCCTTCCAGCTGCCCTTATACTATGCAGGCATGGGTGCTGTTAGCGACTTTGGGTAGCTTGAAAAAAGGCCAGCTCTGGGACCACCGAATACTAACTCTAGTATCTAGATCAGTTCTGTCCGAAAGCAATCAGTGGGCAGACTAATTGATATTTAAGCAATGTTGTATCCAATAAACAACTTCGCCTCACTGACTCTCCTGTGTGTACAGATGTTCAGACCAGCTGCGGCTTGGAAACAGTTCAGCCCTCAACTGAATTCATGTCAATGAAAACACTGCAGGCTAGTATTGTTACGCTGAATCATGCTAGGATACTATTAGCTTTAGCTTTTCCACAGGAATGCGTATTTTCTTTTTCTTCTATTAATCTCTGGCACTCTTTCAAAGCACGTCTTTTGTCCCGTCTTCTTCTCCTCACCCCCAACTGGTCGCAGCAGACGGCCAACCCTCCCTGAGCCTGGTTTCTTCCTGTTAAAAGGGAGTTTTTCCTTCCTACTGTTACTAAGTACTTGTTAAAATAGGGGTCATTTGCTTGTTGGGGTTTCTCTGTGTTATTGTAGGGTCTTCACGTCACTGGAGTTGGTCTCTTTTCTTTCACAACACTTTTATAAGCACAACTTTTTCTCACCAACATTTTTCCTACACATACAAACAGATTTGTGTTTCCCACAAGAAAATGGGACGATGAGGATTACACAACCTCCAGATTATTGTTACCCCTTTATGATTTCTCTCTTCCCTGTTAGTGTGTGTGTTTTGGGGCTTCTGACTACATGACTGGCCAAGAGGCTGTCTCCATTTTTCTGTTTCACACAGCCTTTCAGTCTATCATAGCATTGTGTGTGAGCAAATAAAAAATATTTTCTTGTGAAGCTTAATGTTAGATATTTCAAGCAGATAATTTAACTTTACAAACTGTTAGAACAATATGCTTAAAAATATTTTACCTGGAATAAGATGCTAAAGTGTTTTGTAGTGTCTTATGGTTTGAGTGATTTTGCTTCCTACTAAACTGATTTAGCCAGATATTGTTCTTTGTAAGATTTAAGAGACAAGAGATGAAGAAGAGAGATTATTGTTAAAAGGTAAGGACTGCTCAGTGATGTTTGATAGACCCATCGGCGTAACTTTGTGCCTAACATTGGTGGGATCAAGATCTCTGTCTAAATAAATAAATCTGGGTAAATTCCCACATGATTAAACATGCAACTATTTTGCTGGTAATAACTGAAATGAGTAAAGAACATCAACAGCCTATTTATGCAAGATAGTTCATAATTTTATTGGGGGGTGTTATATTGGTTGGGTCTGATTATTTTGGAAATTACACCCCCCGAACTTCACACAAAACAAACTGAGCTTTATCAACTTCGGATTATTCAAAGGCTGCATGAAATACTGCGTAGTTTACTGCAGGCTATGCTAAAGCCACAGGGCAGTTCGCTTTAGAGCAACATCAGCACAAAATCTACTTGTGCTCAAAACAGAAATCTGACATTTTTTAATCCCCTTTCACCACCACAGCCAACTTTAGGGTTCCTACACCTCTCACGTGAACCCAACTATACTTATTTTCCTGTTTGGATGTAGAGGGAAGGGCACCCGGCATAAACGATAGCAACTAGCGCTAGTTTTTCGCTGCTTGTGTTAAACACATTCAAGCTGCATAGAATTATTTCAACGTAAACTATAATCAAGTTTGCACTCCATGGAGTTGTGTAATCCTGTTAATATGAATTATGTTTTTTTTACTTTCACTGAATTTAATCAGTGCTTCCAACCACAATGTTGTAAAAAACAAAACTGTACTTCCACTTCTGTAAGTCTGTATGTCTACAACCCCTGTCCTTATTTAAAACCATTTCACAGTATCATAGGTGTTCTTTCATGAGACTGTTATATTTTAACCCAGTATTTCCATAAACCAGACATTAGCTCTTATAAGGCTGGTCTTGTAAGAAAACCTCCAACATTAAGACACCAGCTCATGTGACTGAAAACCTTTTATTCCAAGTTCGTTTCCACTTTTCACAAACTCCTGATTTCCCCCCCCCCCTTTACACTGGAGATGTATACAATGTAATCAAGAAGAAACAAAGTCAGTGTGTGTGTGTATATATAAATCTGTTTACAACAACACTGTTTATGGCCACTGATGGATGGGTAGACAACAAGGACCACAAAACGAGCCTGCAACTCCTGTTTATCATCACATTTATTTAACCAAAAATGTGTCTTTTAGGATGAGCTTGAGGCGGCCACTGCAGCGCGTCTGGGCTTGGGGGTGGTGCCTTCCCGGAAACCATTCCTGAAAAACAAAAACAAAACTGATTATGCTGTTGACATATTAGACTAGTCTTACTAAGAGGTAATCATGCTAAAGAAGTCCAAGTCACGTTGTTTGTTATTCTACAAAAACGCTAAAACCACTACATCGATCCAAATATTATTCCCAACTAACCTGCTTGAATGCTGATGATTAAATCTTAATATAAATAATGATTTTAACTTGTTTTATATGAAGAATGAATAGAAAATGCAGGGCACCTTGGCACAACTGAGACTGGAGGAAGTTTGTGACGTTAAGAATGCAAATGTTTATTTCACCAAAAACGTCATTCTGGAAAACACATCCCTGAGTCAACAGAAGTAAACCATTTTCATACACAAACTACACACAATGTTGGGTACTGACGTGGTCCTCCCCTACAGGCAGCACATAATACTTCTCTCTACCTCAAACACTGAAAGACCGAGCGCTCAGGAGGGAGGAGACCACCAAATGTCAGGTCCAAATGAGTCAGACATTTTAGATGCTTCACTTCTGGAGGGTCACCGCTGTACCACATGTAAAAGCTTAAGATCATCACGACAGGAGAAAACACCCACGCAACTACTAAAAATATTTACTGGGTTCCCTGATTTGTCCCAATTTAACACAGACTCGATGCCTGCTAGCTGGACTGGGCTCAGGTAAATTATTCATGTTATCAGAAGCAGCGGAGAGGAGATTAAAGATAGTTTGCCCTCAGATCTACTGTGTTTTGTAAATTTTGGCCACGTTTGAACTGTTGTGAGGCTTGCACGCAGCTTTCACCCATTATGCCACCAACACACACACACATCGCCATCCCTTATTTATTTACACTGAATATTTTCTAACAGCTAGAACTGTGAAACTGTGCAGTAACTGCCAGCGTTAATGAGCCAGTGAAGGTGATTTAACTGAATTGCAGCTAAACAGGCATTCTGCCTGAGACAGTGGAAACTCAACAGCTGCTGCCAAGGTTGTGTTGCCAGATTGGAGTAAAAGCAAGTTATTAGCATCATTACATAAACTAATACAAAAATGAAAATGCATAATTGGAGCCATTAAGTACGGCTTTCATATTCTTACATTAAATGGTTATATAATTTATGCCTGATATAAATCTTATCAAAGGGGTTATAACAAGAGCCGCTATTAGCCATTTTCCAATCTCTGTTTTAATATTATTAACAGCTGGTCAATTATTCCCCCCCCCCTTAAAGAAGAGATGGGAGAAACACGGTTTAACCTTACACATGCTTTGTCCACCAGGGGGCACCCTAAAACTTCCTTTTTGACAACATGTCACAAACAACAAAAAGCTACTTACTACACACAACAAATCTTAGGAAAATGTTCCTGTGCTTCATGTGTCTGGAAAATCAGCTGATATGTTAACATCAGATTAAAAAAATCATTCAATAAGTAAAACCCCTATATAGATCGACTTGGTTTACATAAGCTGAAATAGGATAACTGCTCACTGTGCAGCTTGAATGTTTTGTAAATGATAACATAAATATCAAAACGTACGAGTTTTAACCACCCACTTACTCTCAAGAAGTAGTAAGACCGACAAAATTTCCTTCTATATGACTTGTCTTGAAATGCCACTCACCTCAGAGAAAAGAGTGATGTCATATTAAGTTCATTTGTTCAGACATTTTTTTTTTCACCATCATTGGTGAGCAGCATTGAGGAAGACAAACCTCATTTTCATACACCCAGTCTGTGAGACAGTAAAACTATGTGGGCTAAATATGACAAGACAACCCTGATTTGCAGCAGGACACAACCCCGTTACTCTATGTTCAAACTGTTTAATAGGAAGTGTGAATACTAAATGTTTGGCAACTTCTTTATGCTCAGTTTTCTGCTGCAAGACGAGTAAGTGGGAGGGGGAAGAAAAACCCCAGCTGCACACTGCAAGCCTAACACTCTGTTTAAAGTCTACCAATAAAAAAAAAAGGGAAGAAAAAAAAAGAAAAAAAAAAGAGTGGTATGCTAACTACAACTGCCAAACAAGTTCAGTATTGAGAGTTTTCTTAGATTTTGTAAACACTTGCTTGAATTGTTGATACAAATATTTGCTTGTGCACACAAATTTTACCATCCCTTAAAGTCAAAAGGCAAATATTATGGTCTTATAAGACATCTTTATATAAACTATTAATCTTTTTATGTCAATTTTTTTTGTCAAAGTGGGAAAATTATTTGGTTTTATCGAGCTGATAGAAGATACAGAAATCCTGCTTATATTTCCTGTTGGAAACACATCAACACAACTTGTCAACATATCCAAGGTTTATAGATCAAGCTAGTAAATCAAGTGAATTTACTCCAGGTTTACTTGTGTTTAACAAATTGTGATTTTCTGCAAACATTTTCATTGAGGTGTTTAAATTCATTACACGTTTAAGAGTCCTGTCATCAAGACAACTTTGTAATACTGATGCTAAGGCTAAAAACCAATTTAAGACTCAGAAAGTGAAGAACTGAAGTAAAGTTTGCTTGAAGTGGAACTTATGTTTACCCATTCAGCACCATGGGAAGTTTTTTTTAAACGACATTTTCAAGCTAAAGGGAAATTTTAACCTGTATCCCTCAGGTACAAGTAATTAACAATAATTTAATATAAGACGAAAAGGCAATTTAATTTATTTAGTGCATGAAAAAAAATCTTGTAACCTCAGTTGTAACCTATTATTCTTTAAGGAAATAAAAACCGCCAAACAAAACAAAGGCTACATTCACATGTACACAGGTATCATTGTAAACCATTTTCTATGTTTTGGCCTTTCATCCACACCTAAATGATGTTTCAGCAAACAAAGCTTTACAAAAATAAAATCCTGTCGGTGTGACGATTTTCAAAAACATGTTAAGGGGAAAAAGGAAACGAGGTGTGCACCTCTGTTAGATTTTGACAGAGAGAAGCATGATAAATTAACACACCGAACACCTTGAAACACTTTGTGATCTGCTCCTTTTTACATCTTACCTGAATCTGCGGTAGACGACCTTCATGTGTCTCAGACGGCCTGTGCCAGTGGTGTTCCTCCTCTTGGCCTTAGCGCTCCAGTTGTCTGAAAATGAACAGCACCATAAATCAAGGGAGCATGGCACTTCACATCAATGAAGAGCTAAACAGCATACTGACAGTGCTGCTCATAATGAGTTAAGTTCCAGCCTTTTTGACAGGGCATGGGTGCAAACCAGTGGGGTGTTACACTAAAATATGCTGGAAGACAGCAACCTGCTGGTTTTTGCCATTTCAAAAAATAAAAAAAATACACTAACACTAGAAGCAAGCATAAAGTTTGCCAATATCACATTTAAAAACAGTGTATTCTATTACATGCGTTAAGGTTACTTACACTTTCTCTTGCGCTTCTGAGGGTAGCCACACTTGCCGCAGGTAGACTTCTGCAGGTGGTAGGCTTTGGACCCACAACGACGGCACAGGGTGTGCGTCTTGTTCCGGCGCTTACCGAAAGATGATGTCCCCTTGGTCTGAGAAGCAAGACAAACATGTGAGATCAGGGACAACTCAAGGAGATCTGATTGTAGACCAGGCCGGGGCCAGTCTTGTCTCAGTGAAAAAGGAGGAATCACAGGCAGTCATTTGTTCAGACATTTGTGTTTTAAAAACATCACTGACAAGACTGAACTTCAGGTGGTAGCAAACACTTAATCACAGTGGTTGCAGCAACTCGTGGCCTCAGCTTGCCACACATGCTCAAATGATAGTTACTTTACGGCCAATGAAAGCCGGCGTGCTTTCCTCAGACAAAATCTGCAGTGGCTGACGACACTAATTTTGTACACGTTACCAAAAGAAATGGACCACATGAAAAAGATACTAGCTATGCTAACATCGGCGAAAAACACCGGTTGCCATTTTGCCAACGAACAACCGTAAATGTATTTTCCATGCATTTATTTTTGTGATTACCGGAAAAATCCACAATCGATGATAAAGTCAAGCTTACGATATTTTGTCCTCTTCTAGCACTATTTAGCCCATTCAGTGCAACTGTGCTAAAGGCTAACGACAGCAAACAAGTGCTGGATGGATGTGACAGGAACAACAGTATTTTTTACTAAAATCAAACTTTATCTCAAAAATACATCATCCAACCGGTTACAGTGTTTATCCGACACAGAAGTGGCTTCAGTTTGTGTCAGATACATGGCACATTAAACAGATGTTACGAGATTTCTGTCTACCAGCGCTGCTACATACCATTTTTCTCCGGTGGCTGTGGGAAAAGAGACCGGAAGAGGAGCTGGAGCTGCATCAAATTACATCCGTGCTTTTTCCTGTGTAACAAAGAAATGTGACCCCTCCGTAAAGCATTTTGTGCAAAAGGTAAAACAAAAAACAAACAAAAATATAATTTTATTTACTTACCGGCTGAGTGGCGACACCGGCGTGCATGTTTTTATTTAATGAAAACACGACCTTTCGGACGCATTCCCGTATGAAAGAAAAAACTTATAGTAAAAAAGTATTTTTGTTTTATTTTGTTTTCTATAAATTGTATGTCGAGTAAGACGTGTTTCAGATTAGTATTTATTTAATATTAAGAGTGATATTCAAAATATAAGAATTTGATGAGTTAACAGAAGAAACGCACTCATTATTACATCGTAGTATGACACATGTCATCTTTATAAGGCTTACATTGATATTGTATATAAAAACATCAAGAGCTCAAGGAAATAAGAACTGTGTTTTTGCTTTTTTTAATGTCTGTAGCCTAAAAACTAAAAATACTTGTACAGTACTTCATAATATCTATTAAAACTCAATATTTAGTTAGAAACTAGAACAATTTTTTGAAACCCTATCTTCTAGATTCAAGTTACACAGAAACATGTTTCCTATGCAATGAAATCCTTTCTTTTTTCCGCAGAAAAAAATAGAAAAAAAATCATAATTTAAAAACAGTAGAAACAATTATAAAGAACTACACTAGGTACAATAAAATTAATGCAATAGAAACATAAGATATGCTAAATATATATAAATAAAATAAAAAGACTGAGCTGCAAAAGGCTATGCACACATTTACACAATTTACATTTTAGCATGCTACAGTAATGAGTGGCAATCACCTGTGTGTAACTTGAGAAAAAGCAGACGGTTGTAAAACCATGGTTGCACGCTCATGTCAGATGACGTCTAATGGCCCCATTATACCTGCCGTGACACCCATGACGGGGTTGTCATGGGTGTCGTGCGGTGAATTTGACATCGCATCCTGTGTCACTTTGGCTGGTTGTGCACCTCTCGATTTTTGTAACCGCCACCACCACAGCTGGGCTGAAGACAGGAGTGTAGAATTGTGCTGGTTTTTACCACCACTTTAATGATATTCCAGTACAGAAGCTCAGAGACATGCAGATGTACAGTGAGATATTGGAACGGTTTGGAAACCTGAGAATTTGTGGGGGGGGGAAAAAGCTTGACAATGGCTTCCAGTTTTGACTTCTTTTCTTCCTATATCAGCACTTATGTAGCGATATTGTCTGAGTGGTCACACCTGTTCAGGAGAATACTGCAGCGGCTTCTTGCACCTTAATGGTTTGTATGAATACAAGTGACTGTGAGATGAAGTTGCAGCAGGTATAATGGGGCCCAAATGGGAGTAGCAAAGGAAGAGTTATTTAGTTTGGAGATTCTAGATTTCATGTTTTTATACCTCCAGCCTGAGGGTAGAAGTCTGAACAGTCCATGTTGGGGGTAGGTAGAGTCACTGAGGATGGAGACAGCTATCCTATGAACTCTGTGATGGTAGATGCTCTGCAGAGAGGGCAGTGGAGTTCTAATCCTCTTTTCAGCAGTCCCAACCTCTCTCTGCAGGCGTTTGTGGTCCATAGCGTTGGTGTTGCCACAAGGTTTTGTTGCTGCCAGTCATGCGTCCTGTTACTGCAGTATCATCCGTGAACTTTAGGATGATGCTATCTTTGTGATAGGCGACCCATTTGTAGGTGAACAGGGTTGAGGATGCATCCCTCAACGCATCCCTCAGCCTATGTTTGTAGTAATGCTGACTGAAGTTCTGATAGGTGTGTGTCTATATAAGTGAGGGAGAGAAAAGTGTAGGATCTGAGGTGGACCTGTTGGATCAGTAGACATACTAAAGGGAGTATAGAGTGTCCGGAATGCTGTTCTGAATGTGGGCCAGCACCACTCTCTCAAAACACTTCATGATGGTCAGAGTGAGTGCTCATGACAGGTTGGCGGGCTCGTCTTGGGAAGCAGGACACTGGTTGCTTTTTTTAAACAAGGGGCACCAGTGCTCTGGCTGAGGGTGATGTTGAGGATGAAGTTGAGAACATCAGCTAGCTCACTGGCACATGCTTGAGGAGACCCTGCCCAGGGATGTTGTTTGGTCCTGCTGCCTTGTGAGGGTTGACCTCTTTCAGTTCTTTATGTGCCTGACCCGATGAGCCAGTTAGGGGAGGGGGTGAAGGGCAGGTTGTCCTGTATGTGTGCCTCCTCTCTGTGCTTTACCCGGGCGTCTCAAAGCGGGTGTAGAAGGTGAAGATTATCTGGAAGACTGTCTATGGAGCTGATGCTGTAGTCTGTGATGTGCTGTAGGCTTTGCCACGTCCACCTGGAGTTAGCAGTAGAATAGAAGCCATCCAGCTTCTCTCTGTACTGCCTCTTGGCTGCTTTCCTTAGTCCATACTTCACAGTACTTTCCCAAATATGCTGTTATAATGAACATTATGAAGAATAGTACAAGTACAACCTTAAAGTCCTCACTCGCACTGTGACCACAATCATGCGCTGCCTAACAACTTCAATGCAAAAGCAAAAGTCTTAAAAAATGAATTAAAAAAAAAATTTAATTTCTGTTAACAATTTAATTTAATGAGCAGCAGTAAAAAGTTTAGAATTTCTAAAACACATAATAGCAACTGCAATTGTCTAGAAGTATTTAATTGCATTTCATTTAATTTCTATCAATATTTGAAAGTTATTCACTTGAAGAGTGATTGCAAACAGCAGTAATAACACTGCAGGGTACAACCACATAACAACAGCCTAATAAACTATTCAAAAAACAAAGATAATCACTCATTAATTTACTCACGCATTCAGCTAGACATTGTGCCAGACACTGTCTCAACTGTATCTCACCACCACGCTGCACACAATTGTCTCGATTGTCTGATAACCTTGAATAACACCATGTTGTGCCATATATCAGGCTTTAGAGCCCAGCAGGAAAATGACAAAGATCTCAATTTGGTTTAACAGTGATACAAGCACAAGGAACTATTCAGTCTGATGGGACAATAACTTTTGGCTCGCCTACTACAAATTTCCTATGACCAAAGAGAATGCTAAAACACATGTGGACATGTTTTACATATTTGAGGTGTTTCAAATATGGTAAACTGGCCGTCTGTTCCATCCGTACTCTGTCTACCTATTGAATAAAAGACCACATTTTAGTTAGCTTCAGAACAAAATACTGACATAGTCTTTGTGTGAGGTGCATTTGCTGATTATTCGCCAGACAGAGGACAATTTAATGAATCAATCAATCCTCCATCCATCTATCCATTTTCTTAACCTTGTACCCATTTCAGGGATGCTGGGATTATCGTAGCTGCCCTATAAGGCAAAAGGCTAAAGGTGGGGTATTAACAGGTAGAAACAAGGCAAGCTGGAATGCCTTGGAGTGAATCTGCACAGGCCCCAGGAGATCTTCCAAGTCTATACACCCACAACCTTCTTGCTGTGAGGCAACACATGCCATAGGATGACAAGACACATTTTAAAAAAATCTTTTATTTTTTAGTTGTATGTATTGTATGTACCTTGTATTAAAACGGGTCAGTCAGAAATAGGAGAAGTCAGAAGAAGGAGTCCTGCAGATACCGTCCAGTTACAGATCAGCTTGGCATCGATGGTCTGGCTCTGCAGGACAGTCTTTACTCATAGTACTTCTCTAGTTCTTACTCCATCCGCCTACTGCTAGTGTCGTTTTTGTAATGGAAGATAATCTGGTCATTTCTTTAAGTTTGCCCAGGCTCGCAGTTTAGAGGTGGAATATGGTAAACTTGTTTTTGTTTTGTTTTGTTATCAGCTTTGCGAGGTCATGTGAAGTGGGCGGCTGTAGATGTCGTGTCTGCGCAGACGCATCCTTGAACGGCAGACCGTGACCTTGCGTTTTGGCTGAGTATGGAGCATCTAAATGAATTACGGCGCGCCCCCGTCCGCCTGGCTGGGAAAAGGCGCATCCTCCTGCCTTTTTAGATTTCAGTCACGCACCTTTGCTCAGATTTGACAAGACGCACGAGGGATGTGTTTCGCTGTTATTCTCTCAGCCCCCCCGATTTAAAGAAAAAGAGCGAGAATCGCGCTTATAAGAATCGATGCCTTTGCTTTGTCTGACTTGAGATCTCAGGATTTATTCTGCACCCAGCGCGCATTTTACACAAATCTGCACCGCTTGCACACGACGGAGAGACTGCGCCTCCTCGAAGCGGGTATAGGGCGATAACCGATAGGCACCGAGAATATCCTCCGGGGCCGTTCGTGCTTTTTTACTCAGACATTAAAAACAAAAACAAAACATAAGAATCGCGTATTTTAAAACAAGGTCACTAACGATTTGAGATCTCAAGCGCAGATCCCGGTGCACATCACCTTCCTCCGGTGATGCTGTGGTCAGAGAGCAGTAAAACAGACTAAAAGGGAAAACAATGTGATGGACAATGTCCACTCCAGCGGGTACGAGACACCTGCCATCCTGGTTCTGAATGCAGCGAAGAGAGACACCGAAGCGGGTGTCACCGTCAGCCCTGGATGCTGCGCCGAAAAATGGGATACTCCGACCCATCGTCGGGTAAAGACTTGCTCGGCAGCAGATCTCTTTGTTTCATATTTATTTGCGCGTTTGGGCTCGTCACACTTTTGCAGCAGATTCTCTACGGGAAAAACTACATCAAGAGGTAAGTGCTGATATTTTTTTACCCCACTCCTTTCTTCTCTTCAGCCACGATTAGAAAGAACATTAGAGCGCAGTCAGTTTCCAAGAGTGTAAGGATGACAGTGAGCGGTAAGAAGCATGCCTTTGTAGTCGTTGTTGATCATATCAGTGGCTTTTAATGGAAAAGGTAAAAATGTGAGTGATGAGGTAAGAACATGCTCAGTAGAAATGAGAGTAGTCTGGATGGTCTACATGTCGGGACAAGCTTTAGTGGCTGCAAAGAACAATAGCAATTAACCATCCATGTTTTTCTTTCTCCCCAGTGGCATAGAAACAATTTCCATTGGATTTCTTTTCCTTTTTGTTCCTTTTAT